AGCACAGCTCATATATTTGCTTTATTCATAATCTCGAAAACCTACTCACTTAGGAGGTGGAACTTTTCGTGCAATCCCTGCCATTTTCTCTACCTCACGAACTCAGCTATCGACCAAAATGCCGACCAATCAAATCTCGCCACTCCACTGAGCCAAGCTATGGACCTACCAGATCGGGACCGCCTAAACCAATCAGAGGTCGGCATTCAAATTGCGCAAATGTCAAGCTGGGACAGCTTCTAGCTTCTGACATGGCTTGCGGCAGTTGCTCGCTGTGCCGGCTCCTGCATCAACAGTCAGTCCGAAGTCTCCGCACGTGATAAGTGCCTACACTCGTATTACCAGCAACCTTTAGCCGTTTCTATCGTTGCAATGGCGTATCGTCAACTGAGACAGACATACTCTTGCGTCATTTCAGATGTCTCCTCATTCTCGCGTAGCCTCATCGGTGCGCCAAAATTGACTCGAAACCGGTTCGTTGTCATCGGAGAGACACGTAAGAACTACAAATCTTGTTATTTATGTATCTGCCCATTCCATAGACGACATTACTTATGAGAATGTACAGAGTCTACGGCCCGCTGCTTGGAATTCTCATAACTATCATAACAGAGGACTTCGAACAAGGTGCATCCAACAAAGTCACCCTGACAACACGAACAAATTGCTAAAACAAGGTCAGACTACTTATACACATCGAAAGGAGACTGCGACCAAAATAGAGGCCATACGATCTAGGTGTTCCTATCGAAGCTTCAGACATTATGTGAGATTTATCCATCCCATTTCGCTTAGGATGACAAGGTGACTAGTAGTTGACATTTTTGCACAATGATATGAGTAGAGTTGACGTTTCCATTTAATTTTGCATAGCTTTGCTTTCTCAAAAGGTGTTTTTATCCAGGGTGGACTGCAGTTTCAAGCTGGCATCAGTTTTGTCAACACCCCCAGCGGGAGTCGAACCATGATAGGGAAACATGTAATCTCGACACGCTAATCAATACACCACATAGCCACGATAGCCCTTGAGTTACGGGGCAGATGTTCATCCCAAGGAAGGCTAGGCATTTTCCCATATCACATTCTGTGGTGGAAGTGTCGATTAAGCAAGGTTGTGAAGAGAAGGTGGGTTTCGAAGGATCCGTTAATAGAGTGATACTGGCTTACGTTTCATTTCGTTTGAGAAGGTGCGTCGAAGGGATTCGTAGATTGGCCTCACCGGATATCGCAAGAAGGTTGCCTTGGACTTTTTTTGTTGAATTGTGCGTAGAGAAACTCGGCTCACCGTCCGACGACCCCGATGAATTGGCGCTGAGCTTCCGTCTGCCATGTGATGGGCATAATCAGAGCCTGAAACTATTATTCACGATTTAGTGTTTTTACCGATTTTTTTGTGGATAATGATTTATAGTTGACGATGTCCGTCATATGACGGACAAGAGTTGGGCACGGAGCCATCGGGGTCGTTGGACGGTGAGCCGAGGTTCTCTTGGCACAATTCAACAGACAAAAGTCCAAGGCAACTTTCCTGCGATATCCGGTGAGGCCAATCTATGAATCCCTTCGACCTGCCTTCTCAAACGAAATGTAAGTTACGCCATTATTAAGCAAAGTTGTATTTGCTATAGTACTCGTCTACATTACTCGAAGGCCTACTTATAAATATTCATTATGAGTAGGCTCTGTGATAAAATTCGTATCCACCAATGATAAGTATTTTCGCCGTTAGTAACGGAAAATGCATGTCAACCGCATCGCTAAGCTTTGAAATTCTCATCTGCCCTGTG